ACGGAATACTAGTTGAAATGGTAAGATCAGGTGGACCTTTCCCATAGAGATTTTCCCCTCCTCCACTGCCAATGTTAGGATGCTGGGATTGATTTATTAAGGAAGAAAGCAGTCTTCTTTATAGTGACCAAGTTGTTAAACATTGGTAAATATTTTCTACTTTATCCACAGTGAATTCTTATTATATACATTTAGAAAGCACCTTCATGCTGTATTAAAATATTGCTAGAAAGCACATGGTATTTTAAAATATTTTAATACCACAAAGATCCTTTTTTCTTTCTTCATTCTCATTCGTTTTTTAATTGTAATGCCATTTACCACAAATAATTTTATCTATACATGATCAAGATCTTGCATAATGTACCATCTCCCTTTAGAAAGGGAAAAAAATTCTTAACCGGTTATTTTCTTTTAGGATTTAAACAATACACAAAAAATATAGAATAACAAGTAGTCTCCTTTGAAAGTTCATTTTCTAATTTAGCAATAAAAAATTTCTGGCAGGGCTTCCCTGGTGGTTCAGTGGTTGAGAGTCCGCCTGCTGATGCAGGGGACACGGGTTCATGCCCCGGTCTGGGAGGATCCCACATGCTGCGGAGCGGCTGGGCCCATGAGCCATGGCCGCTGAGCCTGCGCGTCCGGAGCCTGTGCTCCGCAACGCGAGAGGCCACAACAGTGACAGGCCCACGTGCCGCAAAAAAAAAAAAAAAATTTCTGGCAATCATTCAAAGTAGAAGAATTTTTACTCCAATCTAATAATTCACTTCCAATAATTTATTATGTACATTACAAACATGAATCAAGAAAATGAACGCAGAGAATTATCATTAATTTGTAATTCCATACCCCAATACCTATATGAGTATTCAGAAAAGAAACTGAAGGCTAATTTAAATTGAGAACAGGTAACAGATATATAGAAATTCTGACAAACTAAGAACTAGTTTCAAATGTCCATCCAACCAGCTGGTAATCAATCTCACTGTTTTAAAGAAAAGCCCAACATAGTGAGAAATCTGAATACTTATTTTAAAATGCAGTTTCTTGCTTTTAGATACATATGGTTCTCAGGCAAAAAAGAAAAGTTCCTGAATCCTATCAATTCATCCAGTATTATCTCTACAGTAACATTATTAAGACAAGTCATGCAGGAGATCATGTTAGCTCCTTAAGAAGTTAACCTCAAAAAAGAGATGCCTCCAAAGCATTCCTAGCGTTATTACCCACAAATTTGGCTGATCCCATTTGTATTTTTATCCTGAGCATCCAACTAGAATAGCATCTGTGGTAGCCAGTCTCAAAAGGGCATGGCCCCCAGCAGTTTCTCTCTGTTTATGCATACCTCTCTTCTTGTCTACAGGTAGAGATTATTTTCCCTCCCTCTGACTCTGGGCTGGCCTTGACTGTCTTTGACCAATGGCAGCATTCTCAACTCCCAAACCTAGGACTTAGGAGAATTGGCTGACTGGTTTCTATTTCCTATCTCCTGGAATGCTCCTTCTTAGACACCAGGCATCATGCTTTAAGGAAATTGAAAGGCCATTTAGAGAAAGGAGGCCCACATAAAGTAGGACAGAAGGCATTACTGCTAGCTGAACTTTCATCCAGTGGCCAGCCATGACAGAAGGTGGCCATTTTGAACATTCCAGAAACGCTGGCACCCCAGCCAACACCAAGTGAAACAGAAAATGCATCAGTCAACCACAGATTTATCTTTGTTACACAGCAAGTTACCCTTTACACTTTCACTTATCTTTCAATTCTTTAAAAAACTATTTTATATGTCCTAAAATTATTTCATGCATGCGTCAAATTTTCCCAGTTCTAAGATCCTGGGATTGGTTTATCCTGTCCATTTAAAAATAAACTTCAAGGACTTCCCTGGTGGTGCAGTGGTTAAGAATCTGCCTGCCAATGCAGGAGACACGGGTTCGAGCCCTGCCCCGGGAAGATCCCACATGCCGCGGAGCAACTACGCCCGTGTGCCACAACTACTAAGCCTGTGCTCTAGAGCCCACGAGCCACAACTACTGAGCCTGTGTGTCACAACTACTGAAGCCCGTGTACCCAGAGCCCGTGTTCCACAACGAGAAGCCACCACAATGAGAAGCCCGTGCACCACAACGAAGAGTAGCCCCCACTCGCCACAACTAGAGAAAGCCCGCGTGCAGCAACAAAGATGCAATGCAGCCAAAAATAAAAACAAAACAAACAAAAAATCTTCAAATTCATCCCTCAACTTGTCATATAGACAGGTAGGATACAGAAGGATAGACAGATAGATATATCTCAAAAATCCAAAGGTAAACTTTAAGTCTAGACCATGTGTGAATTATGGTCAAATCTGAATTACCAGTCTCATTGATAAGATTTTATTATGAAATTTCTAATCAAAGTACTATGTCAATATAATAATGAACAAAATTCATGAAAGAGAATATCATTTCATGTTGCTTTTTTAAACAAATTTTACATTTTCTTTTTTTTTTTTTTTAGCGGTACGCGGGCCTCTCACTGTTGTGGCCTCTCCTGTTGCGGAGCACAGGCTCCGTACATGCAGGCTCAGCGGCCATGGCTCACAGGCCCAGCTGCTCCGCAGCATGTGGGATCTTCCTGGACCAGGGCACGAACCCGTGTACCCTGCATTGGCAGGTGGACTCTCAACCACTGCGCCACCAGGGAAGCCCTACATTTTCTTAAACAGTGGAAATCAGGCATCGGTATAAAAATTATCATTCACAACTCACAACTGAAGGAAGGGATAAGGACAAAATAAAGCCAAATACTATCAACAACTTCAATTTTATTAAAAGGATAATCCTTGCATGTGTACTGTGCACTAATTACTAGGTGCAAACACAAATAAAATATCTTCCTATCTCAACTGACTACGGAAACAGACATGTTATAACAGGGTAAATGGGACCAAAGGCAAGTTGTGACTTAGATTCATAATAAGACTGTTACTGAGCTAAAAAGGAATACAAAATCTCTAACTCTCTGTTCTGTTTCAGTTATTAAGGTGTCATTCTTTTTTTTTTTTTTTTCTTTTTTTGCGGTACGCGGGCCTCTCACTGTTGTGGCCTCTCCTGTTGCGGAGCACAGGCTCCGGACATGCAGGCTCAGCGGCCATGGCTCACGGGCCTAGCCGCTCTGCGGCATGTGGGATCTTCCCAGACCGGGGCACGAACCCGTGTCCCCTGCATCGGCAGGCGGACTCTCAACCACTGTGCCACCAGGGAAGCCCTAAGGTGTCATTCTTGGTGACCCTCTTCCAGTTGGCCTTTGCTCAAACAGCAGCCACAATAGCAGGCAAGGTCAAAAATGAAAGTAACTATTGTAAAACTGAAGAAGAATTGGTTTCTCCCTATGGAAACTGACTCAACATTTAATAATGTGTGGCGTCCCAAAAGCTGTAAACTACTACATGGCCATCTCTAGCTCAACTTTAACTCAATCAGGAGACCATTATCAAAACAACTCACTGGTGCCAAGCAGAGATCAATTGGTTGAAAATGTTCCTAGGCTGACGTCTAATGGGGAGTAAAGATGATGATCTCATAATGTCTCTTTATGATCTTTAAACCACATTATTCCATAAACCTGATACATGTCAAGATTAGGATTGAGTCAATCTCTAAGCAGGAAAACAAAAATAAGCAACTGCCACTTTTCTGACTCAAATCTAGAAGCTGGCTGTAGATACAAAGCAACTTCCTCTCACTTCTATAGTCCAAAAAAATTTCAAAGCCTCTTCTTAATATTTTAGAATTTCAACATTTGGTAGAAACTCAAGAACCTTCTTCAGGCCTAACAGAATTTTATTAAAGATACACTTGAACTTTAGTTAGGTGTTTCTGAAAGTACTAATACAAAGTAAGTAAAGTCATAGTAAATTTGACCAGTATTCTTGTAAATGGGGCAGTTTAAAGCCTAAATTCAATTAGGTTAATGTCCATGTTTGTTTAAATTTGGGTATCTCAGGCAAAGACACAAAATAACTGACAAAAGAAATAAGATTTGGAGTGACAGGTTACAATTACTTCTGGAAAAAGCAAAACTAGACTGCAAGTAATATCAACGTCTCTACGTCCACCTGCTAAGACAGAAGTAAGTCTATGCATCCCATCATTCTGTAACCACAAAGTCTGGTTTTACAACTAGGATATACAAATGAAGCATCAGATTAAAAGCATCAAATATCAGACTCCACAAATTTGCCAAACATACACATATCAAAAACAGAAAAGCATGATTCAAAGTTAAAGAACTAGATTCCAAAGGATTTAAACACACCCACAAAATCCAGTCCAAGTTCATACTGTGCTTCAACCTAAAACTCAAAACTACCAATCCTGACATCAGCCATTCCTCACTACCTGCATTCCCCCTTTTATCTCCTGAATTTCTCCATTGATCTTATCACTTCTTATGGGTCTTTGGATTCTCCATGGCCTTTCCTTTCCCAGAAAGTAGTACAGCATCCGGTCCCCTCATTTTACTATCTCTACAATTTAGCACTAAGTTTTGTTTTACCCTATTAGTTATTAATTTTGCCCCTAATCTCCTGTACCTAGGTTTCCCCAGCCAATGAACCTCTCCTGTCTTCTCCTTTCAAACTAGAGGATGTAGCCCCTTTCCTGATATTTGTAATTCTGGTTCCTAGTCAACCCCCTTCCATTCTCAGAGACTGTCATCATAGCGCTAGATCCCCATCCCCAGTCCTTTTCTTCCTAAGTAAGGCCTAGTCCTTTCCAGAGTTTGTCAACATTAGTTTGGCCAAGCTGGGATTGTACCCTGAAGGCAAAGGCTATCTCTCCCACCTAACTCTACAAATCTGTCTCCCACCAGCCCTGTCTTTCTCTCCTCTAACCTTGGATCCAGCTGCATCCAGCGCTGCCCGTTTCCCACCCACCTCCCACTCCCAATATCTCTCCTCCCACTATCCCGCGCTCCCTTTCCCCACTCCTGAATGCACCTCTTCTCCCGGGCCTCACCCGTAACCCTCACACAAGGAAGGCCCTGCCAGCGGCCTCACGGCGTCTCTCCTCCTGGCTTCCTCCGCTCTTCAGTAACTGTCCCTACGCCCCTTTCCCTCCAGGGCCCTGCGCGCCGCCCAGAGCCCCCTCCCCGATTAAGCTCCTGCTGTCACTTGGTCTCTCATCCACAAGATGGCGGAGCTGCTGCCCCCACCTCCGGGTCCTCTCCGCAACCCCTCCTACCTCCCAGGAACTCCCGTCCCGTCCCTTCAGCCGCCTCCGCCCCCGGCCCCGGCCTCGGCCCAGGGTCCCGCTGCCCCCTCCTCCAGCGGGATGGCGGCCCAGACCCGAGCCTGAGCGACGCCGCCAACGCCACCGCCTCCACCGTTCCCCGGCCTGCACATTCTCCTCACCATAAACTTGAGCGCTTTTTCCTGCAGCACCGCCTCGGCCGGGTCCATGCTCGTCAACAGCCACCGAGTCCGCACTCCGCCGGGGCCGCCCCCTTGGTGCCAGGCCGCAACCAACGCAGAGCCCGGATCCCGCCTCCTCTTCCTTCTCCCCGCCCTCTTACCTCTCAGGCACCCGCAGGGGGGCCAGGGAGGATCAGCTGTTCCGTGCGCGTGCGTGAGCCCGCTGGCTCACGGGATTTGTAGTTCTGGGACTTCCCGCCGGAAAAAATGAGGCCACACCGCGAACTGCAACTCCCGCGGTTCACTGCGGTAGGGTCGCGGTGGCTGACAAGCCGCATCTAGACAACGGGCAGTCAAGTAGAGAATCAGCGTATGGGAATCATAGTTTACAGCTTCTAGGGCTGGGAAATGGGAGGGGCATCGGTGTCTCCGTGGTTACCGAGCGACGCCAGTGGCGTCTTGCCTGGCAATTGATATCAAGATGGCGACCAGTGCCTCACCTGTAGCCCAAATACTGGAAAAAACTGTGAGAGGACAAAGGTCCTAGGGCCTCCCTAACTGTGGTTGTAGAAAACTGGATGCCCCCAAAATTCATATGTCTGGCGTCTGCGGGACGGATTTCAACCTAGAGGCGTTTGGCCTATGGGCACCTGGCAGCACCTTATAGACTAATGCAGAATTTCAAGGTCCTCCTAAGTCATCGCCGCACATTTCTGCCTGTCACCTTATTCTAATCCACAGTAAATCAGGGCCGAATAGAACTCGGCTCAGGAAATTCTCGGGTGTTTAGCACTCAGAAACCATGGCCTCTACTGCTAACCCTGAGATGTAAGCCCTGCGTTAAGGGTTAAATGGGTACTTGCAAAAGGCCTTTAATGGTGGAATATAATGGCCATCCAATAAATAAAGCATGTAAGTATTTAGTTTGGCCTTAAAAGGGACAGTACGAATTTATTTTGGAAATTGGGTTTAACCTAAGTGGAGAAAACACTAGGGTTGGGCTAAAAGTGATACGCTGTACAAAATATCTGAGTTTATAAAATAAGTGAATTAGGGAAATACCTTTTCGGTTATAAGGAAATTTTCCATTGTAAACTATTTTATTCATTCTTTCATTCAACAAACAGCATATAACCGTGTGCAGACATTGTGCCAAGAGATGGGGGGGATTCAGTAGTGAATGCAATAGACCCAGTCTTATGGAGCTTACATTTCTAGTATGTTGATACTTCGTCCTACTCATCCCTACATCCTCAGAACTCAGCACAATACCTAATACATAATAGACTTTAAGTTAATAAAAAGTTTTACTCTTGAATTAAAAAAAAAAGTTTTACACTACTGCAAAATGAAGACTCAAAACTCATTCATATGAAAACTACCTGCAACTTCTCATAGGACTAAGGCAGTATGTGACATGGTTGCCAAAAAAGCTAAAGCAATCCTAGGCAGCTTGAAGAGACTAGTGTCTGGGGAATAGAGTTTTATGGTTTTATTCTGTTTTAAAGCACTAAGACCATACCTGGAGTACTTTGTGGGTTTTTTGCTTTGTTTTAATTTAATTTTTTTATATAAATTTATTTGTGGCTGCATCAGGTCTTCATTGCTGCGTGCAGGCGTTCTCTATTTGCGGCGAGTGGGGTCTACTCTGTTGCAGTGCCCGGGCTTCTCATTGCGGTGGTTTCTCTTGTTGCAGAGCATGGGCCCTACCCACACAGGTTCAGTGGTTGTGGCACGTGGGCTCAGTAGTTGTGGCTCGCGGGCTCTAAAGCACAGGCTCAGTAGCTGTGGCGCACAGACTTAGTTGCTCCGAGGCATGTGGGATCTTCCTGGACCAGGGCTCAAACCTGTGTCCCCTGCATTGGCAGGCAGATTCTTAACCACTGCGCCACCAGGGAAGTCCTCACACCTGGAGTACTTTATTCAGTTATGGGCACCATGTTCTATAAACATCATATGCAGGAGCGTAGCCAAGGACAAGATAACTGAAAGAAAAAATATTGATGGATGCTTACTCTGAAAAAAGAGCGCTTAGGAATAACATGGCAGCTAAATTCAAGTATTTGAAAGTACTGAAATGCATATGTATATAGCTCTATAGGGCAAACTAGGACCACTGGGTGGGATAATAATTATGATGATGATGATAACAGCTGTCACTTTATTAGCTCTTTATGCCAGGCACTACACTAGGTATTTTACAATCATAATCTCTAATATAGAGTAACTTTGTAAAAACAAGTACTATTATCCCTAATTTACAGATGAAGTAAGTGAGACTGAGAGGAGATAACTTACTCAAGTCATGCAGCAAATTACGTCATCAGGATTGAAACCCAACTCTGCTTGACTCCAAGGACTGTGCTATTTTCCCTGAACCACACTGTAATAACATAGGACTCAGACTCAGAGTTTTCTAGTAATCAGAGCTGTCCTGACAAAGGAAACATAGAGGCAGGATGACCATATTGTCTGAAAACATAGAGGCAGGATTGTCTAGGAGGGTTCAGTTTGGGTGGGAGGTTAAGATCTTTTAAACTCTAAAATTCTGCTCTGGGGACTTCCCTGGTGGCACAGTGGTTAAGAATCCACCTGCCAATGCAGAGGACACGGGTTTGAGACCTGGTCCAGGAAGATCCCACATGCCGTGGAGCAACTAAGCCCGTGCACCACAACTACTGAACCTGTGCTCTAGAACCCACAAGCCACCACTACTGAAGCCCGCACACCTAGAGCCCATGCTCCACAAGAGAAGCCACCGCAATGAGAAGCCCACGCACTGCAACAAAGAGTAGCCCCAGCTCACTGCAACTAGAGAAAGCCCACGTGCAGCAACGAAGACCCAACACAGCCAATAATAATAAAATAAAATAAAATAAAATAAAATACTAAATATGGGGAATTCCCTGGCAGTCCAGTGGTTGGGACTCTGCGCTTTCACTGCAGAGGGCCCCGGTTCAATCCCTGGTCAGGGAGCTAAGATCCTGCAAACTATGCAGTGCAGCGAAAAAGAATTAAAAATAAAAAATTTAAAAATAAATTAATTAAATAAAATTTCCAAAATTAAAACTTGGGGAATAAAAAGAAGTGAGAGACTTGAGCGTATTTAAATGGTGATAGAAAGGATCCATTAGAGGAAAGGTTGAAGATAAAAGAAAGAGGAGGGCATAATGATGGAGTCAGGTCCTGAGAAAAAACAGAATGAAATCCAGATGGAAGGATTAGCCTCCAGTGACAGAAATGGAGGGAGAGAGTATGGGTGCAAAGGCAGGTGGGGTATAGAGCTGGAGGAGAAAGGTTAAAGAAATGCACTTCTAATGGGTGTTGGAATAGGCAAACAGCAATCTCTGCTGCACAAAGAAATTAGAGTTTTGCATGTTCTGCCCTTCTGTATTATGTTTATCCCCTTTCTTTCATTCTTAGCACAAACAATCAAGAAGTAACTTTCCTTAGGTTCGATTAATGTTGTTCTAGACCAGTGGTTCTCAGCTGGGGGCAGTTTGTCCCTAGAGGACATTTAGCAATATCTGTGTTCCAGGCCTACGGCAGAAAAATGCTGTGGAGGACACAGGATACCTCCTCCTTTTGAAGGATATGTTCTAAAAGTCCAATAAAACAGTTCTGCTATATCTCACTGGTAACTGTGTGACCTTGGGCAAGTTACTTAACCTCTTTATGCCTCATGAGCAAAACAGGGACCACAATAGTTCCTATCTCATTGGGCTGGTGTGAAGGTTCATGGAAAATTCTTAGACCATTACCTGGCACATAGTAACTACTCAATAAATGTTAACAATTAATAGCTCTAAATTTCGTATAATTTGCATATACAATCAAGATGGGCTCAGTTTGGACCTTCTCCTTCCTGAATAATTTAGTCTTAAAACTATTACATAGGGCAGAACAAAGTTGGTGTCCATGCTGAGAGGTGATCTGGCATGGGGTGTTGGAGCCCAACTGGTGTGGTAAGGGCATCCATGTGGAGGAAGGAGCTAGCAGCAGCAATGGGAGATTGGTTACATACATACATTCTCTCGCTCTGCCCACTGTGAGGGTCTTGGAGCAGCAATACCCAGTGACAATAAGTACACTTAGCGTCCAGATCTTAGCTTCTAAGTACCATTCTCCACTAAAAGAAATCAGTGTTCCTTGGGGAAATAACTGATTCCAGAGCTAGGACAAGGAAAATACAAGATGAGCCTAGAACATTTTGTGCCAGAACACAAAGAAGTACTCAAAGAATAATGGAGATATGTCTCCCAAAATACTTAATGATTCGAAAAAGAAAAGAGTAACTTCACAGTGGGGAAGCCTGGTAGATATAACTTTAAACAAGCAATCAAGGTGAACAACATCAGGAATTCCCTGGCAGTTCAGTGGTTGGGACTCCACACTTTCACTGCAGGGGGCACAGTTTTGATCCCTGGTTGGGGAACTAAGATCCTGCATGCCACGCGGAGCGGCCAAAAAAAAAAGTAAGGTGGACATCATCAGGAATGGGGTAAATTGAAATTGTGTGCCCCTGATATAATGCAGTAAGAAGAACAAAGACGTGGTGGTGTCTACCTCCAAGATGACACCCAATAATTCTTGCCTCCTGGTATTCACATCCCTCCTATACTGAATAGGGCTGATTTGTTTAACCAATGAGATACTGCAGAAATGATGGAGGGTGACTCCCAAGGCTAGGTTATAAAAAATATTGTGGTTTCTGCCTTACCAACTTGGAGTACTTGCTCTGGGGGAAACAAGGTACTTAGTTATGAGGAACCCCAAGCAGCCCCGTGGAGAGGTCCGCAGAGCAAGGAACTGAAGCCTTCTGCCAATAGTCAGCACCAAATAGCCAATAACGTAAGTGAAGCATCTTGGAGCAGATCCAACAGCCACAGTTAAGCTTTCAGGTGACTACAAACCCAGCCAACATCTTGAACACAACCTCATGAGACACTGGGTAGAACACTCAGCCAAACTGTTCCTGAATTC